GAAATGGGCACATTTTACATAAGTAGGAACATTGTTAGAAATAAAAGGGATCACCCAAACAGAATACATAATAAATAAAAAGGAATATACGGAGTAAAATCTAATACTTCGTATGTCCTATTAATTCTTCATTTTAGGTGTTCTGGTATTTTTGTTCCATCATATTCATGTACTTGTTTCTCTTTTCTATCCCAGTTCAATTTGCACAGCATTGAGGGCGTGGCTATTTAATTCTGCAAGTGAACGGGTTGTTGCAAGACTGAGAAAGAATTTATTCTCCCATCTAATTTGCCAGGTGGAGGAACCATCCCTTTGAATTTGTTATGTACAAATACAAACTGCTAAGTCCATTGTTCAACTTCAATTTTGCAGTGAATTGATCCATGATGCCTTTTCTCTTCTTTCTCCCCCTACTTTCAGGAAATAGCTTTTTTTGATGTTACTCGAACTGGAGAGCTTTTGAGTAGACTAGCTGAAGACACACAAATCATAAAGAATGCTGCTACTACTAATCTGTCTGAAGCTCTGAGAAATTTAGCAACTGCATTCATTGGTCTTGGTTTCATGTTTGCAACATCATGGAAGTTAACATGTAAGAATAAGAGTTCTGGTAGCTACTCCCTGCATTCCTGTTATTTGTTCTTCATTGACTAAACACCCAGATTAAGAGCAGACTGCAAGACAAGTAGACAACCAATGTTGTGGTGAGATGTTGATGACAAAAGAACCTTGTCTACTTAGTTTAAATCTATGTTTATTACATGTGTTTGAAAATAATAAAGAAAGCATGTTATGCTAAATGGAAGACAAATTGTACATTATAAAATTTTCAGAATATCTTTTGGGACTTCTGAAAAATTAAAAGGGAACATTTATATTGGACAAAGGCTGCCAATTTGCTATCCACTTTTTTACATTGCTGTCTGATAAGATTTTATCTTAATTCATATTCAGTGTTGGCATTGGCTGTTGTGCCTCCCATCTCTGTTGGTGTGCGTAAATTTGGTCGCTTTCTCCGTGAACTCTCACACAAGACTCAGGCTGCTGCTGCTGCAGCATCTTCAATTGCAGAGGTATGCGCCATTTAAATCAACACTAATTAAAGCATTTGGTTCCCCTCCCCCTAATTAAAGGATTCATGGCTATCCAGTCTGCTGAACATACATCTTAGTGAGATGTTTGATGCAGTTTAATTTTGTGTCACATTTACATTTTCCTTTCTTGATGCAAATAGGATATTGTCAACACTAGAACAATGGTTTCTCATGAAAGCCTCTATGAGGTTGGAAGTGGTTGAAAATAGTTTCACATTGTACAGTTTTTTACAGGAATCGTTTGGTGCCATCCGCACAGTAAGGTCCTTTGCCCAAGAAGATTATGAAATTCAGCGGTATTCTGAGAAAGTTGACGAGACTTTAAACTTGGGACTTACACAAGCCGTGAGATTCTCCTCTAAATTACAATCTCTTTTTGTTAATTGCAAGCTTGTGACATCTGATTCTGGTTGCTATAGAAAGTTGCAGGTTTATTCTTTGGAGGACTAAATGCAGCATCCACCCTGTCAGTTATTGTTGTGGTGATATATGGAGCTTTCCTGGCTATCAATGGTACTGGCATGACACCTGGTGCTCTGACATCCTTCATACTTTATAGCCTTACAGGTAATTGATTAGTTGTTTGGTGCCAAACATGTAGCTATAGACAAGAACAATTATAACCATTAAGATTATCAAGTATCAACAAATTCTAGTTTATTATTTAATGAGTATACTTGAAAATATTTGGTTTTGTCTTGTTTGTACGTTTTTTTTATTTTTTATTTTATTTATTTATTTATTTCTTTATTTTTTTTTTATTTTTTTTAAAATGTAGTTTTACCATTGTAATTATTTTAATACAGTTGGGTCATCCATATCTGGACTGTCTGGATTATACACTGTGGCAATGAAAGCTGCTGGAGCCAGTAGGCGTGTTTTCCAATTGCTAGACCGAACATCATCCATGCCAGAGCCAGGATCCAAGTGTCCATTAGGGTGAGTTATTCAACTTCTCCGATTCATTTATTTTGTTTGCTCCTAGATTTTTCTTACTGTCAATTTTTGTTCACATGCTTCACGGGGAGGGGGGGGGGGGTTCAATTTTTATCCACTGAGGAAATTTTATTCTCTTAGAATTATTTCTGTTGATATTAGCAAATATGTGTGACAGTCCTCATTTATCTTCATATCTTTTGCAAAGGATGTGGAAGCAATAATACAAACTTAGGAAGAAAAGGATGATATTATGACTTAACAAAGTAGCTCTAAGAGTTGATCTTTCCATTGGGATTCCGATTAATAGTCCTTTTCTGCAGAATTTCATGCTAAGTCTCATGATTCTACTTTTTTGTTGTTGATGCTGTTTATTAGTGATCAAGATGCAGAAGTGGAATTGGATGATGTCTGGTTTGCATATCCTTCACGCCCAAGTCATATGGTACTAAAGGTAATGATAAAACCCCTGCCTTATTCAATGTGGTATTGTGGTTCTACTGACTGAATGCAATACTGAGAATTGTCCTTTAAATTTTCAGGGTATAACGTTAAAACTGCTGCCTAGTTCAAAAGTTGCACTTGTTGGTCCAAGTGGTGGTGGAAAAGTAAGTTCTATTCTAAGCTCCCATGATGTCTGTGACTATACTGCAGAAATATATCCTAGTAATATGAGCCTATCATTAATTTTTGCACCCTGTTTTTTTTTTTTTTTTAATACTGTTGATGCAGACTACAATAGCACATTTGATTGAGAGATTTTATGATCCTACCAAAGGGAAGATTTTGCTGAGTGGGGTTCCGCTAGTAGATATATCTCACAAGCACTTGCATAGCAAGGTAAAGCTTCGTTTATAAGAATTCATATGTAACAGGAAATTACTCATCAGTACAGGAATAATGAATTAATGATAAACGTATCTCAAATGTTTTATTGAAAGCGAAAACTTGTAAGCTTCATGTAGCCTAGTGATATCTGTACATGTGTGTTTGGTGTCTTCTTGTTGGTGAGCTACTTTCCCCGATATTATGGCCCTTTTGTAATTCTAATTTTCTAACTGGAGAAATTTAACCTGAGCCGAGTTAGTTATTATTATCCTGAGTTCCTGACACTTTATTCTGCTATTTATGAAGTTTGACTATGCTTCTATTTCCCTCATCCTTAATAAAGATCAAATCTTCTAGTTTGGGTATATCCCATGAAGAAGGTTACGTTCCCTTTTTAGTAGGTTATTCATTACTTTTTCACTGTCCTAAAACTTTGTGCAAAAATGATGTAAACTTTATAATTGGACAGAGGAGAATTAGCTAAAAATTTGCCTCCTAATTTTCTGCAAATTCTGATTAGATTTTGATCATTGGCATCAGATTAGTATTGTAAGCCAGGAGCCAACTCTCTTCAATTGCTCCATAGAAGAGAACATCGCTTATGGACTAAATGGCAAGGCCAGCACTGCTGATATAGAAAATGCTGCTGTAAGATGCTCTACATATTTAAAAATTCCAACTATTTTTTAAATTCTTTATATGAAGTATCATTTTTTGATCCCTTTGTTCTCAATATCACAGATAATGGCAAATGCACATGAATTTATATCCAAGTTTCCTGAGAAGTATCAAACTCATGTTGGAGAACGTGGGGTTAGATTATCAGGTGGTCAGAAACAGCGGATAGCAATTGCCAGAGCTCTGTTTATGAACCCAAAAGTACTACTTTTGGATGAAGCAACGAGTGCCCTTGATGCTGAAAGCGAATACTTAGTGCAGGTTCAGTATATTATACTCAACATCTCTCATTATTTCTGGTTGCATCTTTGTATAAACCTTCTCATTATTGGTGCTATGTAGGATGCCATGGATCGCTTGATGAATGGAAGAACTGTCCTCGTGATAGCACACAGGCTTTCCACTGTGAAAAGTGCAAACGTTGTAGCTGTTATATCCGATGGTCAGGTGGTGGAAAGCGGCACTCATGATGAACTTTTGAGCAAGGATGGCATCTACACTGCACTAGTGAGGCGTCAGTTGCAAGGACCCAAAGCCGATAGCTAACATTGGAGATATTACTTTACTTACAATTCAGAATACAATTTCAGAATTTCTATTTGTATTATAGGTCTCTGTATGTCTTTATTGGGTCTGTTAAATGAATGTACGGCAGTACGGTCACCTTAGCTAATCAAATATTTACTTCTGTTTTGCATCACTAGTACGATCTTAATTGTGCTGGGACAATCTATCAAGGTCTATAAGTGTCGAATAGACTGATACTGACCGCAACAAGAGTTTGATAACAGTCCAAGGAAAGGAGTTAACCATGCCATTGGGTTAAATACTTTTTTTTTAATGAAGAACATGCCATTGTTAAATTCTCATAAATGTCTCTTTTCACCTTATTTTCACTTATTTCAGGTTTAATAACTTCAGATAAGTTCAGTTAAATTCATATTAGGAAAAATAAGTTATGATGAGGGTTGTCTAAGTACACATTACAACTAAAATAAGGTCTAATAAGTTTAGATAAGTGAAAATCAGGTGAATTAAACACACGCTAAGTACTCTATAGATAGGCATGTGAACTACTAACTTACTAAGTACAATCTTCTCTCTACTGTTTTTCTTATGTATTACAAGCACTTTGTATATCAGTTAAGCCGTGATTTAGTACATGACAGATTGAAATCAGGTTCATCTTACTACCTCCACGTCAGTTTAATACTTAAAATTTTGCTTCTCTTTAACCTTTATACTTCGTATTTAAATTGTAGGAACCCCTATTAACCATGGCAAAGTTGTCAAAAGCAAAGATGAGCTTATAACTATTTAAAAGTCCGATGCTGGGAGTCCAATTGAAGTCTAGTCGTAATTGACAGCAAAATTGAAATACAATTAATCACAAAACTAGTACCATATTTGACACTTCATTGTGAAAAAATATGGAAAATGGATTAATGGAGTATACACAATAAATTGGTACATAAATTGGCTACTGATTAAACTATTAGTGAAAGTACAAGTAGGCCAATAGCAAAGAATAAAGCAACTTGCCCGAACTAATTTTCCAGGTATTTGACCTTTTTACATGTTATGCTCAAGTAACGAGGAGAGATCAACATTGCAGACTAGAGGTTGGAGTTGGACATCAATAGCTGATGCAATGGCTAGCAGTTGAAAAATATAATCCAATAGCAATCCGGAATCCATATCCTTCGTGGATTTTCAAGTGAATGTAATACCATCCTTAATTCCTTACTCTGCATTCAGTAGTCGCTCTATTTATTAGCAAATAAATTCTTCCCCTCAGACTGAGCATCATACACCCAACATCTTACATGAGACAGATGAGACTTTTCAGAATTTTCTTTTGCATGAAAATTTCAGCAAATGGCATCCATGTTTTTCATGTCTCATTGGCTTTGATTTATGCAAACATATGCTGAAGATGCTCAATCATTTCTTATTTCAGGCAAACTCTAACAAAGAGATAGCAGCTGCATAGATTCAGGCCAGACAGCAACAACAGTGCCAAAGGATACCAACTTCCCTGACCTTAAACAGCAAACCAGAAATTGGAACAATTCATTGATCTCCACGTATACAGCACCAATCTCATTGTATATTACTCGAGTTATCTGCATAAGACACTCTATCTCTGGCCGAGAACCATACATTCCAAGGCCTTATGGAAGTATCAGAACCTAACTAACTTAGGCTTAGACTCCACAGGAGATCAAAATATGATCAGAGAATGGGTGATCATGAAACAAATCAAGGCTTCTACGTCAAACCAATAATTCAGTGAATGATTTCACATTCTTCAAATCTTGTTTCAATTCTGGGCATTTTGGAGGCTTGAATTGTTGCCACAGTCCAACAGGATGCCGGGTCTTCTTTTCAACATATTCAGAAAACCTGCCATACATCTTTTCACATTCAGGATATGGCTTTACATAAAGGTTGTAGAATCGAACCCTAGTAGGCTTTATAATATCCCTCAATCCTAACTCAAAACCAAGCCCACCTATTGACCTCAAATACTCAATCACATTGTGCCGAGGAACAATCTGTTTATCAAAATTCACCCCCAAATACTCGGGGACCTCCATCAAACATTCAACATCAAATTTCATCCTATCCAAAAGAAACTCAATTTTACTTTCAATGTCCTCAATGTCATATATTATTGACCTTGGCTCTCTTTTTAATATGTTCAGAGCATCTCTTCGGATCAACCCATATCTACATAAGCAATCAATTCTCAATTTAACAGCAAATCCGGCTTTGATCTCCCCCTCACTGAATATCTTCTCTTTAATTGATTCTCGACACCTCAGCTTCTGAAGCAACTCTAAGCACCGCCGCAGCTCCCCAAGCTCCAAACTTAGAATTCTTGGTTCTTTAATGATCTCTTCTCTAACACACCGCCTTCCAAACCCCATGTCCAAGAACTCATTCATCAGAGGCTTCAACCTATTCTTTACCTGAAACCCTAAAACTCCTGAAAAAGAATGATAAATCCTATCAATGTCACCTTTTTCAAAACCAATCATAATCCAAAAGTCTATCCTCTTCCAAAGTTCACTCTCATTAATCATAACTACCTCAGGAAAACCCTCTAAAACCCTAATTATGGTACCATCACTAAACCCTAAACCCTTCAAAATCTGTACACAACTAGAAAACCTATCTGAGTTAATCCGAAACCGCCTCGAAAACTCGAGAATGCTCCGAATTACCCTAGGAGAACTAGCAAATTGCCCCAATGATGCAATACCCACTTCCCATTTCTTCAAAAACCCCAAATCAAGAACACTAGGGCACCCATTAACTAATGAAACAATCAAATTTTGCTGCAATTTGAATGACAATAATAAAATTCCAATAGATTGTTCAATTTCTAATACATTAGAAGTCAATAAAAAATTGTTCTTGGTAAGAAAAGAGTGAAGATCAGAAGAGGGGAAACCATACCTCTGCAAAAGATTGGCAAGTGAAATCTGTTTTCTGTATTGGGTTTGTGGGAGGGAGTTTGAAAGATTGAAACTTTTTTGTGAATTTGGAATGTTTGAAAAGGGTACAGATTTGAGAAATTTTGGGATGGAAATTTGAGGTAGAAAGAGGGTATTGAGCCTTCGCAAAGTGTTCCTCATTAGAAACACCTTAAGCCTTTGAGTTTCAAGTGGAAGTTTTAACACAACATCGATTTTTTTGGTACTCCTCCTAACTTCGACTGTGAATGAAAGGGAGGAACCGAGGAACAGGGATGGTTCCAGTATGGGTTTAGTGGGTTCGGGTTCAGTGGGGTTAAGTGAGTTCAGCTAAACTCATACTGGAATTGGAAAAAAATCTACAAAGTCCGGAAGAAAATAAAACAAATAAAATCCAATTGCACATTAACCTAATGCATGTAAACGGAAATGGGTTGGTGGTGTAGAGCTGTGCATTATACCCTTTGGGACACGGGATCAAAACTTCATGTACACTTTTTATTTATTTATTCCAAATTACCTTTTTGATATACTCATAGTCATACTCGTAGAAAGTAGTAACACTTAACTTGTATTTTGAGCTAATTAAGTCAAATATATATTCACCAATCATCATCAGCTTTCCTATGGAGTAAGTTCCTAAGATTGATTCCTTTCATTTTTATTATATTTATATCTTATTAACATTTGTATTTCTGTAAATAATTATAACTGTAAATTTTTACCCAAATGGAGCTCTAAAGTATGGTCCTATTTGGAGATTAGGATTTACTCCTTTGATTTTATCATATTTATCAATATCACGAAATTTTAATATGTTTGACCCGTCAAATATATATATATATATATATATATATATATATATATATATATATATATATATATATATATATATATATATATATATATATATATATATATATATATATATATATATATATATATATATATATATATATATTCCGAACCCATAAGAGAAATTTTTTGGAACCGCCACTGCCGAGGAACGATAAAAAGGCTCCATGGAGGGTGCATATGGGAGAATTTGAGTTAATAACGCCTTGTGATTTTGGTTTGGACAAAATTGAACTAAAATATTACTCCAAAATGTTAGAATTCATTCCGTCTATTTTTTTGTTTGGTTGAGATTTTTAGTAATGGAATCTCATACCCAAGGGATTCTAACTCTCCCCTATACCCATGGAATCTCAAACCCACCCCTCCTCCTAAAATGTTAAGGGAAAGAAAAGAAAGGGAGGGAGGTGAAGGGGAGGGAAGGGAAAACAAGGGGAAGGAAAAATGATGAGTTTTCCTTCCAAATCTCTCAATTGTGAAATGATCATTTTCTTAGAATTTAGTCCCTCCATTCTTCTCCCCTCCAATTCCCTTCATCCCTAATTTTATATCCAAATGAAAGAAACTCCCTCTCTCCATTTCCCTTCACTTCTTTTCCCTCTATTTCCTTTAATCCAAACACACTCTTAATGAAGGATAGAATCCATTCCAACAATAAAACCAAACAACTTTGGACTAGTATGGGTTTTAGAATTCTTACCTCTTTAGTATGAGATTCTATACCAATTCATTCCAACTTGATGAACCAAACACCCCCTAAAATTCGATATACATTTTTTTTTTGAAGCAATAATACTGTAATAGTCATATAGATTTAAGCGTAACTAAAATGAATTAAACTGAAAAATAATTTAAAAAGAATGGACTTTAGTGGGTAGGTCAAGCCAAACCTACTACCATGTTCATGCTCATTGAATTTAAAGCATCAATAGTGGGAAGCATCTTAAATGGGGGTTCTTAATCTCTTTCCTATGCCAAGTCATCATCAACTCCTACTAAGAATCGCCCTTTATATAATTTAAAAAATGCACTAGTTCTTACTAAGAGTTAGTTTTGCAGATTTGTACAACTTTTTAATTTTTTTTATACGTAATCATATGCAAAATGTAGCAATAGTAGTACTAATTTTTGTCATTTTATGCTTAGTTAGCATAGCTCTTATTTACAAGAGCTTGTCTTATTTCAGAACTTCCAACTACAAATTCTACATAAGAAACTCCCAATGTTTACCTAAGAGCTAGTTCTTATATTTTCTCTCTCCTAAAAACATCCTAAAAACCCCTCATTATTGATGCTCTTAGGTTATGTAGGCGAGCTAAATTTCAGTGGATATGAAAGTTTGTTCAAAGAAAGGTTATAATGTTCGTAAATGACTCATTATTGGCTAGTGTTTCTTTTTTAAAATGTCAACATAAATTTTACTTCGTAACTCATTAACAAACAAACCAAGATCGGACTGAAATTACAAAAAGAAAAAACACAAATTATAGGTAGATTATAGAGGACTTACAGGACAATTTTCCAAATTAAGTCAATTTCACAAACTAATTACCAAAAAGACGCGTGGCCAAACTATTTACCAAACTAAGCCTGTGGGTCAGTGTTTTATCCCTGATTTTTTTTTTAAAAAAAAAAAAACTAAAGTGTAAAACGCTGCCTCAATCAGTGTTTTTTGTGTATTTTTTTTTTAAATTTTTGTAATTTCTGATTTAAAAACAATAAAATAAATAAATACACTAAAAACGCTGATGGTTATTTGTTTTTCTTTTAATTTTTGTAATTTCTGATTTTAAAAATAAAAAAAAATTAAAACATTTTTTTAATTTAGCATGATTCATCTTACTTGCCAATCTAATAGCCAATCAATTAGCGTTGATAATTCACAATACTAAGGGGTCGTTTGGTTCGCGGTAATAATCGAAGTGAATGGGATTCCATGGGAATCATTCCCTTTGTTGTTTTTTTTTTTTTTGCATTTCTATCATTCCCTTTCCCCTTTGATTACCCAAAAAGCTTCTACTCCCATTCCCCACCCCCCTAGCCTTTCCCATTCCCTTTCCCCAACCACCATCGTACCCACATCAACCACCCTCACCCAGGCCACTTCTCGCCGGAACTTCGCTGCCCTTCACCGGAATCTCGCCGCCATCCCCCGACCCTCGCTGCCCCTCACCAGAACCTCGCCGCCCCTTCTCTCACCAGAAAGTCAATCCCTCACCCACGCATAACCCTCCCCTCTACTTAGATCTGTCGGCCGCCTCTCCTCCACCCCTCGCCGCACCACGGCCAGCCTCGTCATCACTCGCCGCCTCTCCCCGCACCCCTTGTTGCACCTCCCCTCCCTTCATCGGCCATCCTCACTCTCGAAACCCACCATCGAAAAACCTAACAAACATAAAAAAAAAACACATCCCCTCACCGTAAAACTCATCGGCCGGCCCTCCCCCACCCTCGAAACCCTAGTGCCTAGGGTTTCGAGAGTGGGGGAGGGCCGGCCGATGAGTTTTACAGTGAGGGGGGTGGGTTTTTCTAGGCTAAGGGCGGTTTTTTGGGGGAGGGATGAGCTGTGCAGGGGTGGCGTAGGGCGGCGAATGGTGGGGGAGGTGCGGTGAGTGGTTTGGTGGATGGATGGTGGCTGGAAAAGGTGGAATTAGGTGGTGGTGTGGTGGTGTGGTGGTGGGATTTGTTTCCCTTTGTTATTAAACAAACAACATAGCAAATTTCAAGGGTTTCATTCCATTCTCCTCCATACCCTTTCCCCATTCCATTCCGATTCCACTTTGTGAACCAAACGACCCCTAAAGATAATACTATTACTTTTTTTGTAAAACAAAAAATAATACCAATACTAAAAATAATTAAGTAATATTTTCTTTTTAAAAAAAAAGAAATAAGTAATATTTGTTTAAGCGGTAACAAACTAACAATCATACTGGTATAAGATAATTTTGAAGTTGTGGGATCGGATCAGTCTATATTTTTTTTCTTTTTTTGATATAATATAATTATCTTTAGTATTGTGAATTATCAACGCTAATTGATCGGCTATTAGATTGGCAAATGAAGTTTTTTTATATTTATTTCTATAATGTGTATATTTTTATTTTTATGGATTACATCAGAAAGTTTTATGAAAGCCAGAAATTGAAGACTAACAACTGATCAACAGTATAGAATGAACATAGTTAGGAAATTAGATTTGTTCAACACTGACTGTTTTTATTTTTATTTATATAATTAAAGATATATTGCCATAGTAATAAAAATTACATATCTAAATATATACACATTATAGAAATAAATATAAAAAAAACTTCATTTGATAAATATTTTCCTTATGATTTAACGTAAATAGGGTCAAAACTCAAAAGTTTAGTAAAATTAGATAATCATATTATATCAAAAAAAAAAAAATATAGACTGATCCGATCCCACAACTACAAAATTATGTAATACCAGTATGATTGTTGGTTTGTTACTGCTAAAACAAATATTACTTATTTCTTTTTTTTTTTTTTTGAAAAGAAAATATTACTTAATTAGTATTGGTATTATTTTTTATTTTTTAAAAAAAGTAATAGTATTAACTTTAGTGTTGTGAATTATCAACGCTAATTGATCGGCTATTAGATTGGCAAGTAAGATGAATCATGCTAAAATAAAAAAATGTATTTTTTTTTGTTTTTAAATCAGGAATTACAAAAATTAAAAAAAAAACAAATAACCTAAAAACGCTGACTGAGTCAGCGATTTAAGTGTATTTATTTTTTTATTTTTTATTTTTTGTTTTTAAATCCTAAATAACAAAAATTAAAAAAAAAAATATACTAAAAACCCTGACTCGGTCAGCGTCGAGTCAGCGTTTTTAGTGTATTTGAATTTTTTTTTTTAATTTTTTAAAATCAGAAATTACGAAATTAAAAAAAAAAGTCAAACAAGTAAAATGCTGACTGAGGCAGCGTTTTATACTTTGGGGTTTTTTTTTTAAAAAAAAAATCAGAGGTATAACGCTGACTCGGTCAACGTTTTACCCCAGAAGCTTAGTTTGGTAAATAGTTTGACCACGCGTCTTTTTTGGTAATTAGTTTGTGAAATTGACTTAGTTTGAAAAATTGTCCCTGCTGACATCTAATCGGAAAGGAACCAATGAATCATACATTCACACTCTTCATGTGGCTCAACTGATTGCATTTTTTTTCCAAACTAAGCTTTC